TACTGAATTGGGTCTAGAACGATAAATGCGAAGTTTCGTGAAAATCGGTTCAGATTTAGATATAGTTCCCATATATATTTTCGTCCGATTTAATGTAAATGGTGCACAAAAGTCCCTATATATCTTTCGAATTGCACGAAATTTGGTATAGTGTACTGAATTAAGTCTAGAATGATGTGCATAAAATTTCATGAAAATCGGTTCAGATTTAGATATAGGTCCCATATATATTTTCGTCCGATTTTAGGTAAATAGTGCACCAAGGTCCCTATACATCTTTCGATTTTCACGAAATTTGATATAGCGTACTGAATTAAGTTCAGATTTAGATGTAGCTCTCATATATATTTTCGTCCGATTTAATGTAAATGGTGCACCACCGTCCCTATATATCCTTCGATTTGCACGAAATTTGTCATAGCGTACTGATTTGAGTCTAGAATGATGTGTGCCGATTTTCGTGAAAATCGGTTTAGATTTGATAAAGCTCCCATTTTCATCCGATTTTGGGTAAATGGGGCACCAAATTCCTAATGTTTGTCCGATTGACATGAAAGTTTACACTACGTATCAAACTGAGACTAGATTGACGTTATTGCGATGTGTTGAAATTGATGCAGATGCAGACATAGCTTCCATATATATTTCGCACGGGTGTCTGTTTGAGATTAACTTTTGAACAGTGCTGCATATGTGTGCTAATTATCGTAAAGATCGGTTTAGATTTGATGAAGCTCCCATTTTCATCCGATTTTGGTAAATGGGACACCAAATATGGAACCGAATAGCTTGTATAAAGGTTGCTATAAATTGATTTAAATAGGTTTGTCTCATTGTACTCCAAACGACTCTAAATCTGCCCGAATGAAATTAAACTTAGCAAGTCGCGAATTTTTTTCAAAAAAATTTCAAGGAGTGGGTTTTTTAAAGAAATATTTTTTCAAGGCGTGAATTTTAAAAAAATATCCGAAAAAGGAGTTGCTCATATTTTTCTCGATGTATGGATTCCGTTTGAAATGTCATTTCATACATATGTGGTCACTGCCAAAGAGGTTGTCATCATACCTATTGTCCTCGTTGTCTTTATGCATGCACGTTCATTGTAAAATCCGCGTATATCTGCTCCCCTGCCGTGTGTATAACGTGAGCGCCATAAAGTACTCCAGTTTGTTTTTATTGCAGCTTTTTTATAATTTTTTGATTTCAACATCCCCCAAATCGAAGAGCAATCTGTTACTTGGCATTGCAGCCGTTTGTTTTAAAAAATTGCCAATAAGACGAAATTTTCCTTTTTATAGTCTTCGTCGCCGTGCCATGTAGAAGAATAATGAAAAAATGGGAATGGGCGAATAATGAGACCACTTCTGCTATTGACATGAGCTGTGACAACCTGGACCTGAACAAAGATGTTAAGAAGTAGACGAAGAAGAAAACAAAAAAAAATCACTTCAAAAAGAATTCCAATTTGGAATTCTTTTGTCGCAGAGCACTTGTCAGTGTCAGTCTCTGACAGAAATTGCAGGTGGTTCAATAAATTCGCGAAGGGGAGAAGAAAAGTTATGGATTTTGTATGGATGAGGTCATTGTATTTGAATGTAATTCTTTTTTTAATTTCAAGTATAATTTTTAATTGATTTGGCATATCAATGTCAAGCACATCAAAAGGCACGGCCAGCTGCTGGAAATATAATTTTTTCAAATTTGGATTCCTATGGTGTGGCCTTAAAGGGATTTGAAGACTTTTATAGCGGCTTGCCATACCCCGCATTGTGGAAAAGGATAGCATAATTTAGTTAACTGATTATTTTTGGCTTCTTGTTAGTCTTTAAAATTAATTTATTCCAAAATCGATAACCTACCACAGGTTACTCTAAAAATTGGCAGCATTCTCTCGCCGTGTCGTATTTTAAAATGTTGAAATAAATTCATTATTGCCAATATTGTAATCTATGATATTTAATATTAATTAAATCCGACATCTGTGTGTGTGTGTTTGTAGTATTCGTATTTTTGGCATTTGCATACATATGAGTGAGTGTGTGTTTGTGTTGTGTGAATGTGCACATGTGTGGGGTTTTTCATGTTCTGTTGTTTCTAAGGGTTTTTTCTGTTACAGAATTATTTTTTGGCTCACGGCTAATATTTAATTAATATAGAAATGTTTTTGGGCTCTATCCAAATATTTCAATTGCAAAATTTTCGTCTAATAAATAAAATGTTTACAGTAATGAAATGTTGAATATTTGATTAGCTGATGCCCACAAGGCATGCCGGTGCCCAGGGATTTTATTACGCATACAATAGTTTTATGAATTAAATTGGAAACGAGCTGAAAAATACCAACAACAACAACAAAATATTTGTTTTTTTTTTTCAAAAAATCAATAGTGCTTGGATTTTAGATTTTTTTTATAAAATACAATATTTGATTTTAAAGATTTGTTTTTTAAATTAATTAATATTTTTCATTTAGCAGTTGAAACTGAATGCTGCAGCGGATTTTCAAGAATTCATCCATTTTTCAAAACATACCAACGGAGTATTGCAGACAAATTTCCAACGAATTCACAAGTCATCATTAGCCTTTGTTTGAATAATAAATTCGAAATTCAAATAATTTCACTAATTAAATGGCACAAAAAAAAAACAAAACGAAAAATGTCTCAATTAAAATAAAATAAAAAAACATCACAATGTAATTGCCCACGAAGGGGTGAAAGCAAATTATTTAATTGTTCATTCATAACGTTCGCAGCTATGAATGGCGGAATGAATGAGACATCCAGACGTCAGCCTTAAAGTACACACCATTCTTGGTGGTCTGTTAAGGGTTGAATTGTTGTAGTTTTTATATTTTTACTTAATTAAAGGTATTTTTTTACAGATTTGCCTGTTTTGTTTCTTTTTAAATTATTTCCGGTGCCAAAGAAAAGCGAGTGTTTTAACAATTTTTTCAAGGACCATAGAAATACGTGGATTTTAAGAAAATATTTTTCGAGGACAAATAGGTGTCGATTTTTATACACTCCACCATAGTATAGAGGGTATATTAATTTTGACATTCCGTTTGTAACTCATCGAAATATTCATTTCCAATCCGATAAGGTAAAGACGATCTAGCCATGTCCGCCCGTCTGTCTGTCCGTCCGTCTGTTGTAATCTGAAGGAATTGAGATAGGGTGCTGAAATTTAGCATACGTTTGTCTTTTGTCTGCAGGCAGGTCAAGTTCGAAGATGGGATATATCGGTCCACGTTTAGGCATAGCTCCCATATAACAGTACCTCCCAATTTTCGGTATTTTGGGGTTCGTTTTTCAACCGAAATCGCTGAAATTTGGTACATTGAGTTCTTATTGGGTACTAAATGTTTCTACAAAAAATTATAAATATAGGTCCACTTTTTCTGGTAGCCCCCATATAACGGTACCTCCTAATTTTCAGTATTTTTTTGATCGTATTTTTCCACCGAATTGGCTGTAATTTAGTATTCTGAGTTCTTAATAGCTACCAAATCTCTTCACAAAAAATTCTAGATATAGGTAAATTTTTTCGGATAGCCCCCATATATGGGTACCACCAATTTTCTGTATTTTGGGGTTCTTGAGCGCGTTTTTCAACCGAATTTGCTGCAATTTGGCATTTTGTAGTCGAATATGGTAAAAAAATCTCCCTACCAGAAATTTTTTATAATCGAACACCCCACGGTGAAGGAAATGTGAACATTTAATTAGACCCCCATTTGAATATAATAAAATAGTTATAAAATTTGTTCCGTGTTTGGGTTTGTTTCTAAGACTCTGTTGTAATCATTTCATCTGCGAAATAAACAAAAAATAGAACATACGTGGTTATAGTGGACCGATATTCCCCATGCTTTAACTTGAGCTAATTTTTTAAGAACTAATCTTATAGGCATAGTTTTTATGAAATCAAAATTTTTTGAAACAAATTGGGTTTTAAGAAACATTTTTATAGGCATGGATTTTTGAACCATAATTGGTTTGTAGAAATGTCGGTATATGTACACTTTTTGGTATGTTCCCCATATTTGTATTTGAAATGCCTGTCAGTATATCTATGGTGGAGACCCACCTTTAAGTACGGACCGACTGTGTCAACTTAACGCTTTTTCACTTTTTTTCTTTTTAAATTATTTCAGGTACCAAAGATAGGCGAGTGTTTTAAAAATTTTTTCAAGGACCATAGAAATGCGTGAATTAAAAAAAAAATATTTTTCGAAGACAAATAGGTGTCGATTTTTTAAAAAAAATATTTTTGCATGGAGAAGGGGATTGACCCACAAACAAGCATGTATATTTTTTAACTAAATTTTTCTATAATTAGCGGTTAAAAAGGACCGTGGACTTTTGTGTGAAAAATGGCAAAATTTGTTTTCATAGGTATATAATATATGTAAGGACATAATGTGAGAAGGACATATCCAAGATAAAGATTACATATTTAAATTGATACCAATTATATTCAATATGTATTCGAATATGGGAGTCTATTAAGTATATATATGTGAATATACCAATATTATTTAGAGGACGGAAATATAGCGCTGATCACTTTGAAATTCCATGAAGTTCCAATTATGGAACTTCACAACTCAACCCACCGTGAAGGAAATATGGACAAGTAAGTAGAAGGGCTGTACTGAATATTAGTAATATTCGGAAAATATTTCAGTGTAAGGTAGAGGTAGTTGTGTAGGGTATCATATGGTTGGCCCCGCCCGACTATACTGCTCCGCTCACTGGGTTTTAAATTATTAAAGACCTCAATTGGGCTTGGAGTATTTTTGTTTTAATTTTTAAGAACCTTATTTAGGCATAGATTTGTATTTATTTATTTATGTATTTTCTTTTGCAAAGACTTCTTTAAAAAAAATGTACAAACCATAATCTCCTGTTAACTAAAAGTTATTCATTAAAATAATTTTATTATATTATATTTCTTTTCATTCTCTTTGCATATTTTCGCACACACACACATAGTTGACAGCCGCCATTTAAAAGAATCCATAGAACGTGCAGAATTTTCATTACAATTGGAATTGTGGTTTGCCGAACAGAATGCCACAGCATCCAATTTGGCATTGGCCTCGACCCGTACCCTCCAGCTGAATTTCCATCCCGGACGTGGCCTCCACTATCATCTGCCGGTGCTGTTTGACTATTTCCATTTGGCTGCCGTCAGTGTGGGCATTCATGCCAGTTTGGTGGCACTGCATCAGCCGTACATCAAGTAAGTAAAGAGCGCACTTTTTAGACAAAACAAAAAAAAAACAATTAAGGTAGAAATAGGGGGGTTGTGGGAAGAGGGTTAGAAGGATGATCCTGTTGTTTACCTGCATTGTGACTAAATATGCATACATACACATTAAGGTGTGTGTGTTCTAGAATTAATGTATCAACATAAGTAGTGAAAATGACAGAGACAGACCTTGATGCCTAGAGTAGACAACACCTAACGAGGATGATGCGGACAAGGTGGATGTTGAGCCATGCCGTTACAGTGACAATGTTGGTGATAATGACTTTAGCCTTTAGTCTCTACCAGACAATAGATGTTGTAGTAGCAGTAGCAACAACAACACTTGTTGGTTGGTTGGTTTCTTGCCTTGCCAGAGAATTAAATGTAACAATGTTGAAGCACAGTGGTACTGTAAGACCTCCAGTAAAAAATCGATGATTTTTAAAAAAATATTTCCCGGAATTTGTTTTAGACGAAGTTAGGGTATGCAACACTGGAGAATTTCACAAAAATGTTTAACATCCACCTACCCCTTAACCATATGTCTTGAATTCTCTCCATTTCTTTTACCTACATACATATGTAGTTATGTATGTAATATTTACCATAACAAAAACCTAATGTTATCTACCACAAAAACAAAAATACATAATTGTAATTAAATTGTCTGTATGTCGGTGTGTCAATTGTCATGTTAACTGTCAGTTAAACAAATACAGATATTCTTCCGGAGAACTGATGAAGAGTCGAAATGGGAATGGAAACCATTCATTTCAACACTTAATATATCAGAATGAATGACATTAATTTTTTTTTTTGGCAACTGACAAGGATACAGGACACAGTTACAAATTACATTTGTTGTTTTCCAGGAATATCTGACATGGGAAGTGGGAATATTTTTCAAGGATTTGTAAAATATTTCTTTATGGATTAGGTGGAATTTGGAATTTTTATACCCTTCACCACACTGTGGTACAGGATATTTTGTCGTTGTGCATATGTTTGCAACAGACAAAAGGAATCGAGATAGACCCTTGGTTCCTTTTGAGAATATGCATAGAATCACTTTCTAAGTAGATTTATGCATGTCCGTCCCTCTGTCCGTCCATGTATTTTTGTGAACAACGTACAGGTCGCATTTATGAGCCGATTTGGATGAAATTTGGCGCAGCTCACTTATTTGGCCCAGGGACGAACCCTAATGAAATTGGGAAAAATCGGTTCAGATTTAAATATAGCTCTCATATATATTTTCGTCCGGTTTAATGTAAATGGTGTACAAAAGTTCCTATATATCTTCCGATTTGCACGAAAATTGGCATTGCATACTGAATTGAGTCTAGAATAATGTATGTAAAATTTCTTGAAAATCCGTTCAGATTTAGATATAGCTCTCATATATATGTTCGACCGATTTAATATAAATGGTGTACCAAAGTCCCTATATATATTTCGATTTGCACGAAATTTGGCAGAGCGTACTGAATAGACTCTAGAACGATGTGTGTAAAGTTTCATGAAACTCGGTTCAGATTTAGATATAGGTCCCATATATATTTTCGCCCGATTTAATGTAAATTGTGTACAAAAGACTCTATATATCTTTCGATTTGGACGAAAATTGGCATTTCGTACTGAATTGAGTCTAGAATAATGTATTGAAAATTTCTTGAAAATCGATTCAGATTTAGATATAACTCTCATATATATGTTCGACCGATTTAATGTAAATGGTGTACCAAAGTCCCTATATATTCTTCGATTTGCACGAAATTTGACACAGAGTACTGAATAACGTCTAGAATGAGGTGTGTTAAGTTTCATGAAAATCGGTGCAGATTTAGATATAGCTCCCATATATATTTTCTCCCGATTTAATGTAAATAGTGTACAAAAGTTCCTATATATCTTCCGATTTGCACGAAAATTGGCATTGCGTACTGCATTGAGTCTAGAATAATGTATGTAAAATTTCTTGAAAATCCGTTCAGATTTAGATATTGCTCCCATATATATTTTCATTCGATTTAAGGTAAATGGTGTATCAAAGACCCTATATATTCTTCGATTTGCACGAATTTTGGCATAGCGTGCTGAATAGACTCTAGAACGATGTGTGTAAAGTTTCATGAAAATCGGTTCTGATTTAGATATAGCTCCCATATATATTTTCGACCGATTGATTGTAAATGGTGTACAAAAGGCCCTATATATCTTTTGATTTGGACGAAATTTGGCATTGCGTACTGAATTAAATTTTAGAATCATATGTATTAAGTTTCGTGAAAATCGGTTCAGATTTAGATATACCTCTGATATATATTTTCGTTCGATTTAATGGAAATTGCTTACCAAAGTCCTTATATATCTTTCGATTTGCACGAAATTTGGCAAAGCGTAATGAATTGAGTCTAGAATGATTTGTACTAAGTTTCGGTTCAGATTTAGACATAGCTCCTATATATATTTTCTTCCGATTTTATATATATTGTGCACTAAAGACCCAAAATTTGCCCGATTGTCACACAATTTTGTACAATGAACTGTAGTCTCGTTGAAATCGGTTCATAACTTCTACATATATATTTTCGTCCGATTTTACACAAAATTGACACAAGTTTTTCACAAAGTACTGAAGTTAGTATAACCTAGAAGTTGGATATAAATGACGCACTAAGGTGGGTCCGATTGGCACAAAATTTTGCACAAGGTTAATCGGTTAAGATTTGGATAGTGCTCTGTTGAATATACCGAAAGTGGTGAAGGGTATCATATATTCCAGTCCAAGGCTGGATTAAAAAAAAAATAAGGAATAATACAAGGCATAGATTAAAAAAAATTAACAAAATCCAAGCCTTGTATTTTTCCTTAAAAAATTATTAAAAAAAATCTACGCCTTGTATTTTTCCTTAAAAAATTATTAAAAAAAATCTACGCCTTGTATTTGTCCTTAAAAAATTATTTTAAAAAATCTACGCCTTGTATGTGTCCTTAAACAAGAATTAAACCAGTGAGCGGAGCAGTATAGTCGGACGGGGCCGACCATACGATACCCTACACAACTATCATGGAACTCTAACTTTCTGCAAAGTTTTATTCCGAGCCTGAGCAATAGTTCGTTAGAGTTGCATCCTCTTTCCCGATAAGAGGCCAACAGCACCTCTTCCTTACACTGACATATTTTCCGAATATTACTAATATTCAGTACAGTCCTTCTTACTACTTGTCTATATTCCCTTCACCGTGGGTTGTGTTGTAATGTTCGGCTTATAGTTGGGGGCTATATATCGACTAAAAAAAATAAAATTATTGGTCCACTTCATCCGAAAATTATTATCTGAGCATCGTCGAAAATTATAGGCGTTGTCCTTGACCATGACCGGAACCTCATGAAAAATTTCAAAACGCTCAGAGCTATATTTCCGCCCTAAAGTGTGGGTGTGGGTGTGTGTGGGTTACTAAATAATATCTGAGTACGTAGTAAGCACCTGTAAATATTTAAGTGTAACTTCCACATCCGATCACATACAACAATATAATTGGTATCAATTTAAAGGCCTACCACTCCTCTTGGATATACTATCAATTTCTTGGGTCTATGTCCTTTAGGAAAAAATATATATGCCATTGAATACAAATTTTGTCATTTTTCACACAAAACTATGGGTCCATTTGACCCGCTAAATATTGACCGATCTTTATCAAAACAGACATGCTTATTCTTTGGCCCGATCCCATTCTCCATGGAAAAATTCGATGTTTTGGCCATAATTGCGGCCTCTGGAGCGACCAGAAAAAACAACAAAATTTAAGTATTTGGTCCATTTCATCCCCTAAACATTAACCGATTTTTACCAAAAGCAATAGGGGTCTTCATTGGCCAGAAACCACACTACATGTAAAATTTCGTGAAGATTGGTCCATAACTGTGGCCTGTATCGTGTTTACAAATTATAATGGACAGACGAACACACATGTCTAAATCGACTCAGCTAGTCGAGATATGACGAGATATGATGGTATACTTAAAGGTGGGTCTAGTACCAATAATTCTTTTTGAAATGCAATTTTCATTTCATTTTCCCACTTAACCATATTTCTATGTTCAAATCGCTATTTGCTACCAGGCTCTTGGATGATTGTGGTCATGCAACATTTGTGGCCTAGATCACTATCTGCTCCTATTTTATTTGTGGCATGCAACACACAGTGTGTTGTAATTTAGTGGTCTTGTTATGCTTAACCACATTCAATTTTGAAGAAGAAAAAAATAAAACATAAAAGTCTAACAGGAGCTAACATGTGGATAGTGTGCTGCAACCCTCAACTCTTCCATCTCCATTACATCTCCACCTTCATTCGAACACTACTCAAAGGATGTGGAATCCAACAAATGCAAAGTATTTCGTTATTCCACCTCATGATATGTTAACTTTAGTGTCATAAAATGTTCAGCTATTCATCATCATCGTTGTCGCCATCATTATCAGCAGCGTGTCATAATGTGCTCGGTGCGAAATCTCATTATGGCGTCCAACAATGGATGCTTGGAAAAACTTGGTTTTTTTTTAATGCCATTGTTGGTTGTTTATGGTCTGTGGCTTGTATGACAAATTCTTTTATTTCGAATCCCTCCCTATTCGAAAAGCCTCTTCACCCTATATTTTGCCACGTCATGCCACCAAAAGTAATGACATTTTGGTGTAAAAAAGGAATGCAGCAGAACAAAGTGTTTGAGTAATAATATTCATGGTTTTTGCTATTCATTCACATTTGTGCTGTAATTTATTTAATGTGGAAAATAACTTTTTTTTGTATTTTTTTTTTCTAATAAAATAACATTTCCAACTCATTAAAATTACATGACATATTAGCACAATGATCAAACGTGCGATAAAAACTACTACTTCCCTCTACACAACCTCAAAATGTTTTTATTTTTCGTTTCACTCAAAGGCACACAAAAACTAAAAATTCCCTTTCAAAGCATTT